CCCCAAAACCCCAAAACCCCGTTCTCCTAAAATATTAATATAAACTCCACTTATCAAATTGAAATAATAAATAATACAATTATTACTTTGAGCCCCTTCATTAAGCATTTTACATATCAATAAGCAAACTACTTAGAGAATACAGAATTGAAAGATATATCCAGCAAGTCCTTTTTGTTTGCAACTTAGCCTCTTTTGTCCCATGTAGGCTGCAGTTTTGCTCTTGAGTTTTCTAGAACTACGTAATGCTTGCTGAGATACTCATTAGTTATTTTATTAAGGTTTTACTATGCTTTCTTGAATGAGATTGTTCGATCATCGAATTATCTTATCGTGTTGAGCAGATCCTTCTTCATCTTAGTTGTATTCTGCTAAATAACAATTTCATTTTTCTAACTTGTAATACCATGATTAGCATCTAGGTGAGTGTTATTCAGAGATGTGTCTACTCCATAGCGATCACTGTTCTTGTAGTCTATAATAGTGGTGTATTTCTGCAAGTTGTCAAGACTCTGAGAGGGCTTTAGAGCCATCCTATTTTTGAAGAGTTTATCATAGCTAACTTTGTTTTATTCAATCGGAAGTTTATGCTTAAATTGATTCAATGCCTCAATACTCAAGTATTAAGGACTCTAATCTCCTCCTTAATGTAAGCTTGCGTCTAGACTTTTTTCTCTTGGTGGTTTATACATCTAAGCAGCTCCTCCTACAGTTTAATCTGGTCTGTAAATATCAGTAAAAAAGAACGGCTTCGAGCTACTTTTGTTAAGATTTAAATTCTATTTAAAATTCAGTTGTTACTATTGTTAATCAAAGTATGAATCATAATTTTTGAACTCCTATTAGCTTTAGTGCTTATTTAGGGGTTTCAGATATTTTTACTTCTTTATATTGTTTTTGTAAATTTCAACTTGATTAAGAATAGAAGGTTTGGTTTATATATTCAGCATATAGTTCGAACTAAGACTGGAATTTCTTTTGAAGGATGGCATTGTTCGTCTGAAAGCAATACTTGCATGAGTCTTTGGTATAAACCCATCATTGATTTTAGGTAGAATAAATTTTGATTCATCAACTGAGTTATCAATTAATTAAGTATTTCTATCTGGTGAATTCTCATTAAGTCTGCTCTGATTGATGGATACCCTAGATATGCTTTAATCTATAGATTTTCTTTACGACATCATATCATGTGCTTTTTCAAGTATTTTCCCATACTTCATAAAAGGATTATGAGAAAATCTAACTGGGAACTCAGGTAGTTAACTGACCTTGCTCGTATTCTATGGCTCTAGTAATCCGTTTTCTATAGTGTTATCAAGGATTAACGTCTAGCCTGCGGGGCTACTTTTCTTGTCTACTAATCCAAACTATTATGACCTGGTTTTCGTTATATAAGATACATGGTTGTGATTCATATTGTTCTTGTACATTTTCTTATTCAGATACTTAAGTGAACTCGCATACTTTAGATTTGAGGTATCTTTATAGTTATTGATTTCTGATTGAATGGTGCTCTCATTATTGGCTGTCTGACTTTGCACCTACAGCTGAGAATAGTCAGCGGTCTAAACTTGTTCCCTTTACTTAGTATTAATATAGTTAAGACTTAAATCAGATGAATCATCTTAGTCTTAAGTCTGTAACTACTCATTTTATTAGTCTGGCATTATTGCTGAGATGTTCTTATCTTCACTCTCTGGTTCATTTATATCAATATTTGCAAAAGAAGAGAGGCCGATCTAAACGTTTTGGCTAAATACTACCTTTTTAGATTTAGATTCAGACATAATAAAAAAATAACTTTAAATTGTAATAATTATAGATTTAACTTTAAATTTAGTAAAATAAAATTTTTAGAATTTAATCTTCATTAGTCATTGAATGAGTCTAAACAGCAGCACTAGTTCTACTCATAGTCCTACTTTACCCCCTATCTATTCATAATTAGAGGAGCTCATAGCCCCAGAAAATCCAATTGTGCAAAGATCTCAAGACTACCTTGACTCTTTTAATCATATAGGTAAAGCCAATAGAATTAATCTGTTTTTAATAGCATTTTAATGGGATTCTAGGAATCTTTCTACTAATCTCGATCTCAGTGACGATGAAAGAATATGCACATCTAAGACGAGCATGCATTCATTTAAGTCTTGTTATGGAGACATCACTATGATACCAGGATTTAGATACTACTATGAGATTAAATTTTTAAAGGGCAGTAATTTCAAGGTAGGGGTAAGTAAGAGCCGCAGAAATTTAGAGATTGCCTTCTCTGACACTGAAGATGGCTGGGCTTACTATTCTAATGGATAACTAAGACATAATTCAAAGGGAGAAGGTGCCAAGTATGGTTAAATTTACAGAGGAAAAGACACTATAGGCATATATGTTGACTTAGTTGAGGTAAGTATTGGAAGGACGCTTACATTATCATCAGACTAATAAATGTTTTGGTTAATTAAGTAACTTTTTTATAGGGAATCGTATTTTACTCTAAAAATGGTAAAATTTTTGGAGATGCTTTCAAAGAAAAAGAGCTATTGACTAATGCTCTATATCCTGCTTGCTGCTGCCTGACTAAGGGCGAGTCATTTGAGCTTTTATTCCCTTAATGTGAAGATTGATTATGAAAGCCAAGCACTTGAAGCACTAAAATTTCAAGAAAATGAATATAAATATAAAAGTAATAGTATAAGAGTAAGAGTAAGAGTTAATCTAGAATCATTGAACACATTCATCAGCTAGAGATCAAAGAATATAATAGTGATTGAAATATGTTGATAGAGAATTTTAATAGATTCTTGCAATGATTTTGAAATAAGTGTAATTATTTAACTTCTTAATATCTCCAATTCGGATTAACTTATATATCAATATATCTATTCCATCAAATTTTTAATCATATTCCTTATAAGTCATTCGACAGCAATGTTAGAATCGCTCTCTCTGAATATATGATGCTCTTGGTCCTTAAGTGCGGTGTTAAGCTCTTTTGAAGGTGAACCTTTCAATGGGCTTTTCTTGTGTGACTCGAAGTTTAATCTCTTAGATGTTGATTATTGCTACTCACCCAAGGTGTTCTTGCTCTCACTGTTTTGATTTTTATCAGCCAAGAGTGAAACAATCTTGCCTGGAGTCTCATTTTCAGTGTTCTCAACATGCACTTGGATTTACTTGGCCGGTGATTTCTTTGTTGGGGATTTCTTTGTGGGGGACCTCTTAGAGCTTTCGCTCTTTTTACCGTTTTGAGAACTTATCTTTCTTCTTTCATCTCTAGTTCTTCTGGCCTTTTTGAATGGAGACCCACCTTGTGAGCACATATAAGAAGAAGCATCATCGATATCTGTATGAGTGACTGATTGCAAGAATTAAGCATCCTTTTTCTTATCAGCTTCAATTCTCTTGGCTAGTTCAGTCTTGTTTCTGTTCTCATCGTCTAGATTCTCAGTTACGATGTTGACATTGAAAGCAGGTCTTTTCAAGGGTGACTCTGACTCAGATTCGTTGAATCTTTTGGTAGGAACACTTTCTCTATGAGTGTGATGTTCTGGCTCCTCTTGAATTTGTTGCATGACTGGTTCTTACTGAGCCTTCTTCTTTTTCTGCTTGCTCAGTTGTTTCTTATCATTATCTTCATCCTTGTGAGTCCAAGCCTAGTCTATCAAAGCTTGCACTGAATCAAAGTCAGCAGCTTTCCAGCTAGTTTGTCTCTCTCCCCATTTAGGTTTAACTAGGCCAGTCTTAGATTTACTTCTTTATTGGATTTTTTCTCTCTCCTCTTTTCTTTGCTACTTGATCTCTTCAGCTCTTTACCAAGCATCAACCACGATTTCCTCTACTTTTTACTCTTCGATTACTTCCTTTATTGGCTAGTTAGCATGATGCTTTGCCTTTGAGGCTTATCTAGAGTGAGCTTTCTTTTCCTTAAGTTGCTCAGCATCTTGCCACCCCTTCTCAACTAAAGCTTACACGCTATCGAATTATTATGGTTTCCAAGAATGCTGCCTCTCTCCCCATTTTTTGTTGTGATTAACTGCAACTGCCTTAGGTGGATCGTTCTTCTTTAACTCTTAATGGCTTTTACTTCCACCAATGATAGGGGTATGCATGGACTGAGATGTAACTGATCTCTCTGTGTTTTTGCCATCAGCACCACTATCACCTGCTACTGCCTTAGAAGTTTATACAGTTGATTTCTTTAGTTCCTCAGTTGCCTCTGATTTGAGATTGGTTGTACTGGTTCTTGTGCTAGTATTTCTAGCTGACTTGAAGGAATGCTTTTTGGGTTGTGACTCAGTGGTAGAAGTCACACTTGGTTCAGGTTTGTTTGTTTCAACTAATGACTAAGAGCCTGAGAACTAAATTGGCTCGGTGGCTTGGGTTTTATTTGAGGCAGACTAAGGTTGATTAATGACTTTGGTGCTGGTAGCTCTTTGGAAAGCTTTTCTAGTTTGGGTATTAGGTGTCTTTGAAGACTAATTATCAACTGAAGCCTTGTCTGAGGTACCATTTGAACTAGTTGTTATTGGTCTAACGGATGATCTGAGATTTGTGATTGGAACTGTGGAAGTTGTAGTGACAATACTCTTCGATCCCTCTTGAGTAATGGTAGTAGTTGAGTTTAGTTCACCAGTAGAGCATAAATCTGATTTCATTACTGATTATGGTCTGTTAGATCTGCTCTTGAAGTTATGCTTCTCTTATTTGATCAATTTCTCGTTGTTATTAGCATCTTTTTCAATCACAAAAGTTTCTTCAGATACTAAAAAAGTATTAGTTTTATCAGTAATTTTAGGATATCCGTTAAGTGGATTCACACTTGAGGGAGTTTTGATTGAGCCAGTTCTAGCAGGGGGATTCTTAATAACTGGTGGCTTTTGAGCTCCAGCCTTAACATAGGGCTGGATTGTGGTATCACTCACTTTAGCAGTCTCATTAGCCTCTGTAGTTTTAACAGCTTTGCTATCAATTTACTCTTTATCCTCTTTTTGTTTGAGAGCCAGTGCTTCCTTCTTTTTCTATTCCTCTTGCTGTTTAAGTATTTATTTCTCAGCTGCCTTGGGTAGTCTGTTAGAACCATTTATCTTTGAAAACTTGGAAGAGGCAGATTGTGTTGGGGTTGGCATAGATTTTTTAGGCACTTGGCTCTCGGTATTTCCTACTGCAGTCACAGTAGTAGTTGTAGCAGATTACTATGTATTTATGGTTGTTAAATTTGACTTTTCAGCATTAACTTTATTTTCTTGTTATTTTTCAACGGTAGGTGCTTGCTATTTGGGCTGATTGTGTCTTTTTTCAAAGTACCAATGCTAGAGTCTCAAGGCATGCTAAAAAGAAGATGAAATAGAGGAGTGCTTACTCTGTGAAGAAGGAAAACATTGGTTGTGTATTTCATAAATTTCTTTGACTGTGTCATCAAATATAGATCTATTTCATCTCCGGTTTTCTGGACTGTTTTCCATCTCTGAATCACTTATTCAGCCTTTACACGAATTATAATATCAAAAATTTACTCTTTTTTGAGGTAAAGAAGCATGATTGGCAAGTATATTATCAATTTAGGGAGTATTTAATTGGTCTAGGTGATCCTAATTACTCATGATTAAGTTTTTCAAATTTAAAAATATAACGTATTCATAATTTCCTATCATTCATTCATTTAATTTTTCCTAATTTCCCTCTTACGGGGTTTTGGGGTTTTGGGGTTTTGGGGTTTTGGGG